CACCTGATCCTCCCCCCGGGCCCAGGTGGGTGCCGCCCAGTGGGTGCCGCCCAGGGGGGTGCCGGTGCTCTGGGAGGCCCCGCTGGCTGGGAATGAGGAGCAGCTCTCTGTGGAGCTCCTCTGAGTACCATGCTCAGTGCACGCTTGGCTTGGGTCCACGCTTGGCGTTTGCAGCCATGCAGGGAGGTGTGAATGTCGCACTTCCGGGGAAACCAAGGCACGAGTCCCACCCTCACGGCTGACAGAGCTGAGTTTGGGCTCGCAGATTCTGGGGCGCCCCATTCTGCAGAGTCCATGTTTCCAAGGTGGGGGCGTATCCGTTATGGACTGTGAGTGGGGTGGGCAGAGGCCTCACTATGGGGGTGGGGTTTGAGGAAGGCCCCTGGGATTCCTCCCTGCCCGTCACACACCTGCCTGCAGGGCCTTCCGCCAGGTCCCAGCAGGGAGACGCAGACCAGCCTTCAGTCAGTGCGTCCCTTTCTGAGCACCTACTGTGCGCCAGACGGTCCCTTTCTGAGCACCTACTGTGCGCCAGACGGTCCCTTTCTGAGCACCTACTGTGCGCCAGACGGTCCCTTTCCGAGCACCTACTGTGCGCCAGACGGTCCCTTTCCGAGCACCTACTGTGCGCCAGACGGTCCCTTTCTGAGCACCTACTGTGCGCCAGACGCGGAGGCTGCGGGAAGGTTACGTAGATGCGGTTCATGCCTCACAGAACTCTCAGCGTCGGGGGCTGCGGCTGTCCCTCAAACAACCCCCACTAACTCTCGGGGTGCGCCCGGTGCACCACACCAGCCCCGCGAGGCAAATGTGGAGACAGAGAGGTGAAGAAGCAGCCTCCGGTCACACAGCCGGGATGGCAGCTGGGACTGAACCCAGGTGGCCTCACTGCAGGGTCTGGTTCCCACCACCGGCCGACCCTCTTCCCTGGCGAATGTGTGGGCGCTCATCACCGTGAGGCCCTGCAGTGCGAGGCCGCCGTGCTCAGGGACCTCGAGAGCTGGCGCGGATTTAAAATGAATGTCTACACGCCCACATTCTAATGAATGAGCCTCAGTCCTCATTTCCCTATCGCCTGCCTGTGTGACATGCATCTGTCCGGTGGCGCTACCGCAGCAGCAAGGGATGTGCCCAGTGGCATCGCGTGGGGAGCACCCATCGGCCCCAGGGGAGTGTTTACACCATGGGAATTGGCCAACACTACCGCTGCCCCTCCTCCCCAAAAAAGCCAGTGCTGCCTTGGCTGGGTGTGTTCAGTGGTTAGAGCATCAGCCCGAGGACTGAAGGGTGCGGGTTTGATTCCCGGTCCAGGGCATGCACCTCGGTTGCAGGTTCGAGGCTCTGGTTGCCTTTCCAACTGAGAGGCGGTGGCCATGGCCAGACCCGCCGCTCAGCGCCGTCTAATCTCCCCCAGGCTACTCCCTGGTGACCCACATCCCGGCCGGCGCCCGCGACATCCAGATCGTGGAGCGGAAGAAGTCCGCCGACGTCCTGGGTAGGTCTGGGGGCCTGGGCGGCCGCCTCACCTGAGCGTGGGTTTAGCATGGGGCGAAATGGATGGGCAGAGAGGGGGCAATTGACCCCGGTCCTTTCCTGCGGGGGAGGGATGGGTCGCAGAAGCCAGACTGGGCCCGGTGTGTGTGTGTGTGTGTGTGTGTGTGTGTGCGCACGCGTGCATGTGTGTGGAGGGGCTGTCACAGGGAAGCTCAGGTGTGGAAGGACCTTGTACTCAGACCATGAGGGAGGCGTGATGTCAGGTAGTGAGCTCCCCGTCCCTGGAGAGCCTGGCAAAAGCCGGAGATGCTGAGGGTGGAGTCCCTGCCTCCGGGTAGAGGAGTGAGGCTCAGGAGGCGAGAAGTTGAGGCAGAGCGAGTGGCAGGAGGTGGCCTATCTGAGGCCACAGGCAGCCAGCAGTAGGGGGAGGGTGTGGACTGAG